TTTGCTTTTCCCACCCCTGTATTCGAGGGTTTCCACAATATACTTCCACGCAGGGAGATGGTGTAGTGGCCAATATGTGTGAATCGTTACTCAGCATGTTTGTCTATGGTGACAAATGTACAGATACTACAGATCAGTTAAGTGATGGAAACATTAGATTTATATTCAATAAATCTTTTCATTATTCTGATATTGGAAAATGTAAAAACGACAACAAAATGATTGCTTTCAAGGAAAACGTAACGTGAAGTAAACTTTGCACAATAGTGGTGAATCTGGACATTTCTGTGAAAATGGGACGCGTCAGGGCTCCTTAAGCCTTGGGTACAGCTATTTAGTAGCTAAAATGATAACAGCAAATATCAGAAAACACGTCTTACTTTCTAATGCAATTCAGCTGTGGGTGCGCAAGGATGCCATCACCTGGGGGACAGATGTAGGTGCAAGTTTTTCTCAGCAACATTTCACCATTGCCATAAAAATGATGGCTTAACCTTGCGGTTCATCTACTTCCTGAAAGACAGTTTTGTTGAATATCCAGCTATGTATCTGTTTATGTGGCTTTTTGGGTCATTATATATATATATATTTATATACATTTATAAAATTGGAAAAGATATGAAACTACTACATTTGCGATAAAGCGCTTAAGTGTCACAAAGAGTATATACAGTTAAACACTCAAAATACTCCAAGAAAACAAATTGTTCTGGCAAAAATTAAGAAAAGCCTGACAGGGGAAGTCTGTCTGATTGGTTAGCACTACGGGGCTTTGGCTTTCATTCCTGATTTTCCCTGGCTCTTCATTTACAGAGATTACATGTTCTCCCACAGCCCAAAGGCATGTGGTTAGGTTAATCAGTGTCTAAACTGCCCATAGTGGGTCAGTTATGCCCTGCAATGGACTGGCATCTCTTTCAGGGTGGGGTAGGTTCCAGCATCGTTGTGACTGGGTAAGTGGATAATGCAGGATGGATGGATTCATATAAATGTAAATGGAAAAAACTCAATACATCAAAAACCCAAAAATGAAGGCCTTGACTTGTTCTTGGGGAAAAAATAGGCACATGGATGCAGAACACAAGCCTCGCTTGAGTTCAGTACATCGAAATTCAAATAAAAATACTACATGGACAGTTGTATATTAAAAGATGTGAAAACATCACAAATACACAATGCTTAGATCAACAATGAAAACTTAGGAAGAGGAAGAATAAATCACAGATTAGGTGCACAATAATTCAACAAGGTCAGACGTCCTTGGAAAATTAAATAAAAATGTTAATTATATTGGCCCACATTTGAAAACATACTCATGTTTTCTGACAGAACTCAGTTCACATGTTTTAAATGCTAGTTCTCAGTCTACGAAGCACATGACTCCAGCAGGAAAAAGACAACTGAAATACTGCCAGAAGTGGTCAGAGGATCCACAATCATTTACATGTGGAACAATAACAGTTTGGCCTTTGGAAATGGAATTAGAAGAATTTAAACAAGCAGTTGCGCAATCACACACAAAGTCTTTACTAAAATTAAACTAAATGTTAATATTTCTATTCAAAACACAAAAACTTAGTTTATTGAATGTATCATCATACAAATAACATTGCATCATCCACCTTGTGATTGTGCCTACTTTATTATTTAACCATTTTTTTCCCCAAATAAACTTACAAGTTAACTCATCTATACAGCATACTATTTGACCAAAGAATTCTGGTAAAGAAGTTCACTGAATAACGCTACAGCAGGGTTCCTCTTGGGGTTTGAGCCAGCAACCTCCACATTGTACCTTTGTGTCTTTAACTGCTGCACTGCCTGCTGTTACTGGCAACCTCCGTTCTCACATTCCTGTGTGTTTCTCCATCTCTTCCAGCATCGTTGCTGATGCAGGTCACAGAACATGTCTTGGGACCCTCGAACACAACTCTGCCAATCACTACTTACAGTAAAAATGACACACAGATGTTATTACTTCTAGATCATACACAGATCAAACCTCTATCATGTCAGACTCCTCATCTGAAAATTCAGTAGACCTATTATAATTGATATATTGCACACAATTATTGTCAATAGTTTGTCTATACTTTATGTGACAAATGCTTCAGTTCATCCTTTCTTAATTGGAACATTCAAGGATTACATGGCATGAAAAAAAAATCACCTAGAGACATAGCCAGTGTTTCAAGGATTAATATCAGAGTTGCATTTTTAACCCAATGGAAACCAATCGAGTAACCAGCAGTGATTTGAACTACTAGGTGTTTGACAACACAAAATATTTACACCAACTATAGGTTTTGAAGTTATATGTATTCTACTACTGGATTTGGGTAACATTCAGTCACTGATTAGTGATTGCTCACGGTGGGTAGTTTAGGTCCAGAAAGTAAAAGTCCAGACCAAAATTTTGTTTCAACCAACCAATTGAGTATAGTCACAGAATATGAAACTGGTTGGTTAAAACAAAACCTTGGTCTGGATTTTAACTTTCTGGCCCTGACTCTCCAGCTCTGCCCAGAGTGGTAAAACGTGTCAGAAAGATAAAGCCTCTCTTTTAGTCTCAAACAGATTATATAAAAATCTGCGCATGTCTGTGGGCCAGTAGTGGAACCAGCCCATCAGCAGAAATCTGCAAAAGTAAGCTAGCCAGTCTACGCTAAAATAACTGAACCTATCTCTTCTTTAAGTGGCAGTCCTAGCTGCATAACCAACAGGCAAAATCCTCTCCCCTTCCCCTGCCGAGCTACAGACGGACCTCGTCCTGAGCTTAGGTCTGGCCCAATGACGACTGCCAGGCGGAGAGCATGAGACCTACACCCTGCCTGTAGGATTGCCAAAGGCAGGTCTGTTTTATGCACTTCTGACATCAAAGTAAAAGACTCACTGGGGGAAGTCTTGGTGAGAATTGGGTCCTGGTGCTCGACACTCACGGTGCTGATTTTCAGCCAAGGCCATTCTGCAGACCTGTAGCACTATGAAACATGTGCATCATGACACACATACTATAAGACTGCTCCTCAACTGTACTACAGGAAAGCATTGCTCATATGCTTGCAGATATTCTCTATCTCTCATTGAAAGTAATTTCAGGTTTTATTGCCGCATGTAGTGCAATTAATTTTTTACTTGGGTGCTTCCTTCTAACTATTTCCAATAAATACAACAAATATGAACGACAAAAATTAACACTAAACAAATAATAACACCACTGCAGACAAAAATCCCCTATGAACATCAATGAGTTTACACTGTAGTGCAAGTGTACACCGTTTTAACAGAATTTAGTAGTGGCTTCTGTTAATGCACACATAGGCCATACATATGGTGAAGTAATGATACTGATACGTTTATTTGACATGTGTGCATATAAATTCTTTGGTTTTGACATCTTAACTCTCCTATGAGACACACATAAAGGTGAAAGGGAAACTTACAGTCAGAGTGCAGGGCCTATCTCAAGGGCCCAACTGTGATACAATTGTTCTTCCAGTCACAAGAAAAAATCCATAATCCACAGAGCCACACACCATATCAAAGTGCAATACTATAAGTAAAGCCTTTACACAAAAGACAAGAGTTACATTCACGATTGGAGAGATGCAGGAGTCAGGATATTATACTAGATGCTAGATATAGCAGGATTGCACTGGGCATGGGTGATGCATTAATATGAAGTGTAAACAATAAGGTACTGGACCAAACATGTAGCACTAGGCAACAAAGTACCGACTGCGTTCCAGACCGAGTGGAGTGCAGGACTCAACAAATAGTTGGACAAGACATAAAGTACTGGGCAAACAAGTTCTGGACAATAGGTACTGGAAAAGTGTGACTCATGGTAGATATTGTGCATAACACCAGTAACATGCAGGAGCATTAGAAAACAGTGTCGTGCCATGGATACCATGTGAGCCAGCAGTGGTGGGAAGAACCTTGGGAAGGTTCAGTTTGTCATGTACGAAAGGCAGAGGTAACATTGCTATGGATTGTATAGATGACATCGAGGCCACGAAAATCAGGAAAGACTGACTATATTAATGTCAGCCCTTATTTCAAGCAATTCTAACAATTTTAGGTTAGTAAGCAAAATGATTGCAGAATTGTTTGGTATTTGTCTTGAAGGAAGTTAATGGGGAATACACATAAATAATATTAATATTCATTGCATTTATGTTTTGATAATAAGTGGAGAGTGGACTTTTGATTATTAGTCCAGTCGTTACTATGCATTATTGTGTAATATTGCCAAAACACATATCCTTGCCACCCCCCACCCCCCCCTCACTCAGAAAATAACTTTTTTGGCTGATATGCAGTTTTGCATTAATATGGCAAAGAACCAACTGACTCCGTATTTCTTATACGTTGGTTCAAATATAATAGTACAACGTTGTGATTTCGGTCCCTGCGACATGGAAGGATACGGAATAGCCTGGGAACCATTCCTTGTTGAATAAACAATGCCATTTGTTTCTCTTCTCCTTGAGGCTAATCAGTGAAATTCATGAGCTCCCACATTCCACAATCCCATGTGTGAACATTAACAGAATGACACTTTTAGTTTAACTACAATACTTTTAAGACGTTATTACGTATCTCAAAATGATCAATAATTAGAAAATATAATTTCAGCAAGATCATGACCAAAAATACACGTTATCTTTCACATTTGAGGTAGAGAACCGGTCGCATTTATTCACAAAATCGCTTTAGATTATAAATCTCAATGCCTAATGCGTTAGCACGCAGTAAACGAAGAGCCCCTGAAATATTTAAGCAGTAGGCCTATCTATGATATTCAACTTTCAACTGTTCTGCAAATTACAAAGCTGTCAGACCCCGTATCGCAGCCATTGCTGTTCCGTCCTGCTCAGCTGTTCTCATAAATATTCACCGATGAAACCAATGACGATGCTCGTTTTAGTGGGGGGGGAATGAGAGTTAATATTCAAAGCGGTGTCCTATTACCAGATGATAGACGAATTACCAGGAGCAGAGGATCCCTATTCGCCGCTCGTAGCATGACGCACTCCGGTTTCCCCCGAATATGCAATGAGTTCCTTGAGGCTCCAGTGCAAATAAAGATAGCGGACCGCCGCCTGCGGCTTCAACTTTTTATACTGACAACGTAAAGCTATGCCTTTTGCATAATCGTGAACTAAGGGACTTAGATCCCAGAAGGAGCCTGCGGGGTGAAGAAGAAGAAGGAGAAAGACAGAGGAGGATACTTTCGGGCGGAGAAACGCAAAGTAACACAATAGAAAAAAAGTGAACTTACGACCTAGAATCAGAAGTTGTGATTTACCTAAAACAGCGGAGAACCGAAAAAAACCAACATTTCCGTTTTAAAGATGAGTTTGATGTCTGCTATAGACACCAGTGCCAACGTGTACCAACCTGCACAGCTTTTAAACTGGGTATATCTCTCTTTACAAGACACCCATCAGACCAGTGCATTTGATGCGTTCAGACCAGAATCGAACTCTTCCCATCCGGAACTGAGCTACACCAAGCCTCCCGCTGCTGACCTGGGCTCCTCTTTAAATTCCAGCTATCTGAACAACTTCTTTCAGCTCCAGAGGAATGAGGTTAGACAGTTTTGGAATCCGCTGTTTTCCTTTCCTCTTTTCCCTTTCCATTTTCATTTCTTCTGTGCATTTTACGGCTGGATTTGCGTCCAAAAATATAGGATGAATGCCACACAAGGAACTTCTTTTAATTCCCCATAAAAGTAAAATAATTTAGGTTATCTCATGCTTGCATGTTTTAATGTAAAATTACTTTGTTTTGTATGTATACACGAAAAAGTTATATAAAGTGCATTTTTATCGCAAACTTGTGATGCGGTACTGTAAGAAAGAAATAATCTGTTTTGCTAAAGTTGTTTCTTTTTAATATAAGTATGAAATAAAATACAAGGATGCTGATTTTATTTTTTTAGCAAGGTAGTCTTGAATTCTGTAAATATAACAATTAATTTTGGTGGAGAATGATCTGTGGACGCCTTAACGGTACCGTTATTTTCATGTTAGCTAAAATCCTAAATGTCAGGGAATGACAGGATGTAGTAATGACTAGGGCTGTGGGTTCATGCTGTTCTTTTTTTTAAATGAAGGACTTAACATGGTTACGTTGTACAAGAGTTTGTTACTCTACATTTCAGACTTTGTCTGAATTGAGTTACATTGTCTGATCCTATTTAGAGCAGTTGTCTAATTTGAAGATAGTTGAAGACAAAGTTCAGCAGACCTGCGCTGTTATTTTCAATTACACAATAATCGTACCAAAAAAAAATATTGTTGGAAATTTTATAGCTGGTTATTGACTTTTTTGAGGGCTCTGGGCACTATGATAGAGTCACGGTTACCCGGCCCGTGAAGCACGTCGTGCGGCCTGTATTAGTGCCTCTAGCAAACTCAGGTTCACTTTAAACTGATTTTCAGATGTAACAATACAGCGTCATATAACAGGACGACACCTTTATATTTGAATCATGTAATGAAGAATATGCATTTCCCACATTTCCAAATTCATCCAGTTTATCGTTTTAAGTATTCCCTGACACAGTCCTGTAAGGACATTATGCGTGTAACGTCCTTGTATGCTTTTGCAGGATACTTCAGCATTGAAGCAATATCCTCAGCTGGAACTATGGGAAGAATGTAATTTGGCAGAGTACAAATGCCAATCACAACACTCACAAGTAACAGTTAGTATTAAATATACTCAATGTAAGACAGTCATGCAGTTGCAACACAAATAGTGTTTGGTAATGTTTAGTAGCATCGATGATGCTAACATACTGAAGTCGCGCCTTTTCACAGTTTCGAAAATACACAACAATACACACGTGCATTGTTTTAATCAAACAAATCTTTATAAAGTAATTATATTCCTACATTTCCACTTAAAGACATTCATTAAAAGTCAGACATTGTGGAAGAGTAACATATTTTTACTTACAGAACATCGCAGAGCCCAAGTACATATTGAATCGGGATGTTTTGACATAAGTTATAACAGTTGTGTATCTTTAAATAAGCTAAATAAAATACAGTTGGTTTGAAACAAAAGCTGTTTGGATAGATGCTGTGGTTTAACAAACACAATACATGTGGAAATTGCACGAAAGGCCCTCTGTTTTCATATGCTTCCATTTAAGTATAAATTCTCATATATTCTTATAGAAAAAAGTTATCCTGTAGGCTGGAATAAATTGCTGGTCGATAAGTGTAATGTCTGTACAGTTTAAGGACTCATTCATCGAATACAAAAAACTTTGTCCTTGAGCAGCTGTTAATTTGCTGTCTATAGCTGTGTGCTGGGCTCTTTGCTTTGTAGCTTCCACATGCTTTTTGTGTCCCACATACGTGACACTGCATGCCTGCCTTTGTTACATTAACGATTGCCCCGTACGTCATGACTGGCGGATTATGGAGACGTTTTACAGTGTGCCCTCGCTATAACTAAACTGCATCCTGTCCAAGTCCTGTGCTCTTTTTATAGCTTGGGGACTCTTATAGCCAAAGTTAAGGTTCTGTAGCAAGGAGTAGGAGGCTTGTTTCCATTATACTGGAATGCGTCTTAGGAGGTCATTGTGAGTCTGCTCATCTGCAAACATTTTGGGCATTAATTTGTGCATTCACCCAGAATCATGTTGTCATTAGTATTCACACGCAATAATTCAAATGTATCCCTTTAAAAATTGTTCTGTGTACTGTCAGTACTTATTGTGTGGGGGAAAAAAAACATTCTAAATTGAATTTTACAGTTTGCTGCTCAAATTGGCAAAAGACTTGTCAAGTTATCTATGTTCAATTTTATGATCAACCCTTGCATTGTAACGATCTACTTATTATTCATTGACATCATCTTAATACATTTAGAAGCTGCAAACACATGTCATAAATTAATGAAATAAATCCAGGAAAATGTGCTGTGATGAGAAGCAGCGTGCTGTCCAGAGCATAGGTTTGGCCCCTCTGGTCAGCATTATGGTGTCAGTCAGCAGCTGTGACGTGCTATCAAGCAGAATGTCTCAGCCCAAATGATTGTATAACTAAAGTAAGTGATTGCAAAACTTCTAGATAACTGAGGTTTTTGGAGTCTGTTGGATCCATTTTGCTCTGAGGGTCACTGCTAGATTTACGGTGTTGAAAATTTCTAAGCGGTTGTAAATTCCTGTCATGCCGTCAATCTAACCAGCCAACACAGAACCTGTGTTTTGTTTACATCTGCTATGTTGGGCATTTACAGGTAGAATGTGTTTCCTCGTTGCTGATGTGTTAATGGTCCTGCTGCTTCAGCTCTTTGTTGATGATTCTGTGTCTTTCACTGGTTGCTTTTTTGGCTGAAAAGAAAGAATAATTGGAATGCTGTGTAATTTCACTGAAACTCAGCCTATTCATTTTACATGTAGGTGCCTCAGGGAAGGAGGTGGAAAGTGTTTTTTTTCCTCCTCAATATCAACAACATGAATGAAATGATCGTAGATGCAGTGGGACATTTTAAATCCTGGAACGGATCCATTTATTTTTTAACACAAATGCTGTTTTGCATACTAGGAAGTCAGGGACGGAGACAATGGGTCTGTTTCAGCATCGTCCTGTATTATTTACGTACAATGCCGACAGGGCTTGGCTCAAAATGGGGACATCACTAACCAGCACAGGAACTGTATGTTTGTGCAGCGCATTATGGGATTAGGCAAGCTGTGTATTCGTGGGCATTATAGTGTGTGGCAGGGGACAAACCTGAAATCCAGATGTGATTCTTCTCCCACCTTGTTTGTAATTGTAACTGAAACGATGCAGTGCTGCCAAACTCCCAGCATGTTCCTGGAGACTCAGGGGGAAGGAGCCATTACTTTGGATGCATTTTTTCTTTATGGGCTTCAGGTGCTTTGGGAAGGAAACACATTAGTGTAAATAGGACTGATAACTGAGATGGATTAATGTAATCAAACTGAAAGAGTTGGTCTCTAAATCCAACTTGGGTCCAAAGGAACGTTTTATTTTAATGCCCCGTGAAATAAAGGTTCTCACTGCAAGCTTGGTCGCACAGATATATGCTGGATCTGACCTCTCCCAGCTGATATTATAATAGTCTTGATTGTGTGGGGGAAAAAAATGGCAGATGAATCAGAAGCGACTCTGTTTCTGCCGCGGTGCAGAATCTGCACTGTCCGCTCCTGCATCTGCAAGCTATAATAATGCCTCATTCATCGAGCGTGAGGAGACTCAGAAACAAATCCTGGCAATCAATCAGGGCTGTGGACATGGTCTCCAGTGTTCTGCTGGCAGCGCTTTGCTTGAAAGTTCCTCCTTTTTCATGCTTGCTGACAGTTGGGTTCATGCATGCAGTATCCCTTTGGGTGACCTCAGTACTTTTCCGGCCCTTCTGGCGTTGGTCTCCCCATTTCTTGGGTTCAGCTTGTGAGCAGCGAACCACCCTGACATTCTAATATCATGCTCTAGACCACATAAATTCATACTTGACATGTCTCTGGATGGCCGCAGAGCTCTTCATATCTATTTGTTTTGAGGCTTCCTTCATTTTTTAATGCCATAAAAGCATTTCTTTGTTTGGACAGTGTACTACAGCCATTGAATGTCAGTTAGAATAAAAGTCCTATGAGGCGTTGCTGGACCTTACGTTATCACTCTTCCTGGGTTGAGTACTTAAAGATTTATGCCTTTATCTTGATTAACTGGAGATCACTTTTCCTCAATTTACTCTCAAGTTATTGCACAACGCTGACTGGTTTTTCTTTGTTTTGCTTTCTTTTTGGCTCTGCAGGCCTTGAATAACAGCTTATATAAAGGTGCCTCCCCCTATGGCTCCCTAAACAACATTGTGGACGGACTGAGCTCTCTAACGGACCATTTCTCCGAACTTTCCCTCTCCTCTGAGCCACGCAAGCCAAGCAAAAAGCCCCCTCCCAACTACCTGTGTCATCTTTGCTTCAACAAGGGACACTACATAAAGGACTGCCCCCAGGTAAGTCAGGCCCCACACAACCTGCAGAACAGCGTGTCAATCTGACCCACTGCTCAAACAGTAGTCCTCTATATTCTATCGAAAAAATTAAGACAACCGGAGCCTCGAGGAGCCATTGAGAATGTTAGTTAACCCAAGTTCGTCTAAATATCAAAGGTTCTTCCACATACCCTGACCTGATCAAATTTAATATTCAGAGATGAAAGTGTATTCCAAGAACAAACAATCACAAAGGTACAAGTGCATTATGGGAATGTAGGTAATGGACACATCCATAAGAAATATAAAATATTTTCTGCATATATGAATCTTGTCATTATCATTATGTTATGAATACTAAAACCAGTGCTATTCTGTATTTTGTTTGGAGAAAAACTAACCCAGTTTTCCACAAAAATGTGCTATTGGCAACTATAGCACTTTCAACAGAATTGTCCCGAATGTTAAAGACACTGGCCAAACATGTTAGAACCCACTACACCTGGGTTCAAATGAAATATGGAAAAACATTTTAAAGAATGTAAAACTAAATATTTTATTCAAATATAATTTGGTACAGGCTTGTCTTTCATACATCTGTTAAAACAACAGTTTTATATTTAGTTATATAGTGGAAAAAGGGTTGAATTTGCACAAATGTGCCATTTACTTACTGTCCGGGTCAAATAATCTGACGCTTTATCATTATTAATTATCAAGGATTTATCTTGAACTGTAGTTCTTAGTTACCTGCTATTTCATACCCTTAATTGCAAACAGCCTTGACAGCTGAGATTGGTATGTGGAACAGTTTACAATATTATAATGTCATTTTTATCATTTTTAGCATGCTGTTCAGAACTAACATACAAACAAAATATGTATGTCAAATAAGCAGAAACAGTTTATATGTGCAACAATATAGTGGGGACCCAAAATGATTATCATAATGTCTAAATTTTATCTCAGAGAAAGAGAAGTCGTGTTTTCATTTGTTTATAACTGGATATGGCAGTTAGAAACCAACCTGCCTGTCTGGGGAGGTTATTACATTCGTATGAGTGATTAGCACTTGAAGTTGGTTGGCCTTTTGTTAGTTTGAAAATGACTGGCAGATGTTTTTAATTACCATGCTTTGTATGCATCTGTGTGGAAAATCAGTCCAAAGAGACATATATATTTCCATCAGTGGTTACAATTCAAAGAAACAATGCAAAAGTCGAACACCATGTGTCTTAACTTTAAGACTTGCTTTTTTTTGTTATGGTTTACAGCTATTGTCTGTAGTTTGAGTTTTATTTTAAAAACAATATGTAGACAAGACATATCAGCTTACAGCCTAGTTTAAAAAGCGAACTGCTGGAAAAGACACTGTGATCATTTTAACTGAGATCTGTCACCATACAAGCCGAACAAAGTGACTCACAAACATTAAAGATCTTAAAACATTATATTTCCTGAGAGGGCTGCAAAGAATAGAGGTGACATCTCTTATGTCTTCCTCTTGTGTCTTTTCTTGTTTGTCACATTCGGCCGAAAGAAGTGATTTAAGTCGGAGCCCTTTGAATTTTGCTTTTCAATAATAATTCTAATTTGCTGTGGATGTTTGTAGGCCAGAGTTGTGGTGACAGATTTAGCGTTACACCAAAAGGCAGTAAGTGATCTCACCCTACATCCCAATTCAATTCCATGTACCCTGGTATGGTAATGGAAGCCAGATGTTGGATTAAAATTCTAAGCCTCCCTTTATGAAGGAGGATGGGCTTTTCTGTATAACAGCACACAATCTGCAAGACAAATAAGAGAAATCCCAGTGTACATGTTAATTGATGTTGCAAGATCCGTTTGACGTGATTGACAGTGGTATGTTTGTGACTATATTTCCAGTTATCCCGCCTGTAAAGAAGACTAAAGTGTCTCTCTTCACAAATAAGTAAACATCGTTACTACAGAAACCAAAAATGTGGTTAATATGATCAGCATGATGCAGAGGCTCTTTAGAGAGGACTAGCATTCAAATATAAAAAAATAAGACTAAAATGTTATAACTTTGCTGTTATGCAAGTATGATGACCCACGTTCTATATAGATACTGTATGTTAATTGATTCCTGAGCGCAAATATGCAAAATGCAGTCTTCTCCCTGAGAGAGCTACTCTGATGAACAAAATCTTCAGCTGTTGTTGGAACATAATAGAGGAAATAGAATCTTTTAAACAGCCTGTCAAAGCTTGTCTTTGATTGTGGCATTTTTTAGGTCCTGCGTTCTGTGCTTTTATGGCACCATTAAAATGAACATTATTGTCTATCATCAAAATTTATGTAAAGATCAAATCCAACAGATCTTTCATCTTTCAAACCATGAAGCAAGAACATACTGGAAGAAACAGGCCCTGCAGTCTTGTGTCCTGTAATGGATTCTCTCTTAATTTGCATTTATTTAAATCTTGTAGGGTGAAATTGTCAATTGATATCAAATCTCAGACATTGAGGATAAATAATCTGGGCGTATTTGTTGTATATTTTCATATTGGGTGATCTCATTGCAATTCAATAAAGCTGAATAGAACACCCTCTGAATTTGAAGGAAATAAATTCCAGCATAAGCTGGTGCCTCAAAGATTCCCCACAGCCCTGTCTGGCGGGCCAAAGCAAGTATAAATATGGAAGTCCAACTTCACAGGCTGTTGCAGGACTGTGATCTATGTCCAGCACTGGGGACCGCTTTCACATGCGTTCTCAGGGTGCATATTTTCCTTGTCTTTTAGGAGATTAAGTGAAAGCGTCAGTCAAACAAAAAAAAATGGAGCTGAAAAGAAAGTCCACTATTCCTGGAATGTCATATTAGCTTCTTTCGAGGAGCGGTTGATGGTGCGGAGGGGATAGGAATCCGGGAATGTCACAGCTAAATAAAACGCGAGATATGACAGGAAAGGGGAGTGTCGAGTGGGCCGTGTCGACTTGGGAGGTGCTGTGTGGCAGGGTGGACCATCGTCTTCAGCGGTCTATCTGTGACATTTAATTCACTGCATTTGGCAACATCTGACAAGCAGGAACCTGTAAAGTGCGCTTAGCCCTATCAGTCATTAAAGGATCGAACTGACACTTCGCCGTCTTGCACAAAACAGTGACGTTTCCTACAATGTTCAGTTTATTTTTTTTTAGCATGTGTGTAAAATCACTGGAACCCACTGGATCATTTCCGCAGGTATCTCTCTCTGTAAGGCTGCACGGTTGAGTCAGAACCTCTGCAAAGCCTTGCCTCGCCTCCACTGCCCTTCTGTGGGGAGCGTTCCAGAAACATCCCTGGCTTCCATTCACACACGGCATTTCATTTTCAAGGCATTCAGACGGTTTCTAGTGTCCAGAACCTCATTGAAAAATATTGCTGATGTCTTCAGACAGGAATGGAGATTCTCATGGACTGCAGCGTGTGTAATCCTGACTTTAGACCTTCTTCCAAATAGGAATGAAGATGATGTCTATAGAGAGATATGATGCAGAAAAACATGTATAAAGGGAGATAAAGCACTGTTTTGGACTGATTAGCTGTTTTTCCTGTGATAGGCTCTAGCCTCACAGTGAACATGCTTTGGATGAATATGGAAAATGGATGGATGGATGGAAATGAAAGGTGCCCACCTGGATCTGAGTTGCTTGTGATTGTTGCTATGGTATTTAGTTATTTGCTAGCATTTCTTTTTAGTTTTCCTGTGGCTAGTAGACTGATACAAGGCAAGTAATTGAATATAACCATTTTCAGATTTCTTCACTGGTCCCCATCCCCTCGTTAGTGGTGCTTCGTGTCTGATTTTCACTCACATATTCCCAGATTAACTGATATAGTTAATAAGAAAGAATATATCCTTAAAATAGACTTTTTGTCTTCCATTTCCTAGATGTTTTTAATAACATTTCTCCACTTCATTTCACTTGTTTGCATGTTGAAATATTTTGTCAGCTTAGATATTTTTTTACAGTGGTCTTGTGTGCTGATGTGCTTTATCTGTGTGTATTATAAATAACTTGCGTATTTCACTTCAGTTTTGTTTAAAATGCAATGAAAAGTCAGAGTGCATGTTATTGTAAAGTGAGCAAGATCATAATTATCTCTGCCCAAGCTCTTTCACTGCAATTCTAGTGAAGTCCTCTTATGAGTAAATGGCCATAAATAGTGAAGAGATGTACTTTTATCAGACTTTGAGAGAGATAACAACAGGGAAAGCAAATCGACGACACTTCCTTAAAAAGGAAATCAAAGCCAAAAGAATAAAAAGGTTTTCCTGCCAGCTGGTTGGCTTTTTTTGCACAGGAATATCGGTCTTCCTTTCTGTCGCTGATACGACATTCATTGTCCTTCCCTTTGCTACAGAAAACTTCTTTTGTGCAAAGCTGTCATTTCAGCAAATGCAAAAGGAATAGACTTTAGACAATCAATTTTTTTGCTGTTTAGGTCCCTCATTTGGCATCAGATGCATGATTTTCCCCCTCACACTATATATCGTGTGATTATTTGGTCCTTGGTACCTTGCCCATGTAGATATGGACCTGGAATGTATTTACGTTGTGGTTTTTTTTTGCATTATTGCATGATGATGACATCGTATTCAATTAGAATGCAGAATGTGTTTCAGAATGTAAAGTGCACACAACAGAACAGAATAGGGAATAATTGTTTGTAACAAAGACTGCTACAGTCATAGAAAATGCTTTAATGTCCTATTTGAATGCTGGAGCATCGGATGAACACACTGTTTTTTGTTCTGACACACTGTTCATGAGTCTGTAGCTCGGATTTTGTGAGAAGAAGTGGCAATACTTCTCCCTAGGGCAGTATTAAGCTTTGTGGAACTGGTATTTATTCATTTTTATTAACCCTGATATATCCTGAAGACAAACACTGTCTATTGATGGTCCGGAGAACAAAACAATATAACAAATATTTATAACATATTCCACATTGCAGGAAACCATTATGTAATTAATAGTGACATGTTTATTTTTTATTTGTTTATGCAGTT